TGTTTTTTACCTCCACGAAAGTCATGTGACGACCATGGCAATTTTAAAATGACTACAAGTCCTCTATATTTACACAGCGCGTGTTAATTATACAATAATTTACACATTAGGTAAGCAGAATTCGTTTTTTTAATGTTCTAAAATTGTCATGCAGACCCAAAGAGTTCAGCGTTGATGACCTTCGCAATATAACAAGAGATGAGCTAAAACATGACCCAGACTGTGTGGACAATCTAGCACGGTTAGCTGATGGAGTCTACTCGGGTATCTGTGCCATGTGTGGCATTAAGGTTTTCGGGGTATGTCTTCTCGTCATTGTTTGTTTGCTTGACGAGCTTATTTGATTACATTATTCCTCCTGTCTTGTATAAAAATTTGGCAAAACAACATTGGCATTTTACCAGTAACAGACTGTGCTGTTGTCATTTCCTTGAGTGTTGATTTTGGCCAGATTCGCTGGTCACTCCCGGCTATACCATTCTTTTCAGAGGGCGATGGTCTATTTATGTTTCCACATAGTTCACGCAACCGGACAAGTGCTAATTGGTATATACAATTTATCTCTATCACAATATTCCCATTACGCCTGAAGGCGAAGATGGTCATTTACATTACCTTCCACTATAGTTCACTCACTTACAAAAGACTTTGATAAAATTATTAATTTGCCACCTAGTTTTGCGGAGATAGCTAGCCTGTCTGCATGACCGTTTAACAACACATTTATATGAACCGAAAAGAAGATCTAATGAGGGGTAACTACCACAGACATCAGAAAGAATGATTGCACCTCTGTACGCTGCATGCCGTTTTCCGCCATTCTCAGGATGCTCTGTCAATCTGTTTCGATCACGAAGTTCGCTGCCGGCACTCAAGCCAGCAAAAAACTTTAGTGACTGCCCCCAACTTCACTCTCAGAAGCGATATCGAATTATAGGCTTTATTGCGCCGAGCGACATACATTTTCGCCTGCTATAAACCTCCAGTAACTTCAGCGACTCAACACAGAGCAAAAGGTATACATAATCACACCATTTGGATGGAAATAGTCACAAAGCAGTTGTTCAACTTGTTATTCTGTTGTGCCCACCGACCAATCCCGCCACTCCGGAGTCAAGATTGCAAGAACCTTGCACAGATCTGATTGCGAACCGACCACTTTGACCTATTTTTCTCCTTGTTCGGTACTTTGAAGAAAACACACCTATTTCAGTGGGGTGTAACTTCGTTTGCAGAACTCTGAGGCTACGTGTAATATACATTATATCAAATATACTACTTGGTATCACTTGTACCCCCCAGAATCATTCTCTATACAGACGTACCTAGGTCACGAACTTTATTCGTTCTTTGACTCAGTTCGCGAACCAAAATGTTAGAGAAACAATATTTCCATTTGAAATTAATGCAAATTAAATTAAACCTTTCGCCCGCCCTAAAAAACATATAGATGTGTTTGTGTGTGTGATTTATGTGGGGCAAAAAAATATAATATAAAATATACAGAATAACTTAACTTTTGTGGCTGTTGACACTGGTGGATGGTAGAGGAGGAGGATGAGGATGTCTGCTCCTTCGAAGGAAACTCTTATTCCATAATAACGTTGGGCAGCTGTGCAGATATTTATGGTGTTTATTCTCTTATTTGTATCCTAGGAAATGATTTGACTCCTGGCTCGGTGTCACGGTGTCAGTTGTTTCTACAAGATACCGAACACTTCAGCGACATGTGTCTTTTTTGATGGACAGTGTTCCGAGAATATGTAAAGTAATGAACCCGTTTCCACGCCTTTAGGCGTATAGGGCAAACAGGGCTAGAGCTATGTTTGTATAAACCAATAGTCACACGATGGGAGACGTGGTCAGCATTACGCCGGCCGCCTTTACTTCCCGGGACTGCATCCGGTACCCACTCAAGGCTGGGTCGACCTGGAAGCCAAGGTCATTTTTGAAAAAATTCCGGCTCCTCCAGGGAGCGAGCCCACGACCTTCCGATCCGTCCGAAAATATGGCATCAAATTTATAACACCCATTGCTCAACAGGTCACAGTTTTGTTAGGATGATTTGTCTCCATTTAAACCTAGAAAGATATAAACCCGAACAAATAGCAGATAAGCAAGCTTTACAATATAAGAAAAACACAAACGAAAAGTGAACGTTGCGGCTATAAAGTCTTCATCAGCACATACATAAATCAAACAAAACCACACGAATACACAAACATCACTTAACTAACCTATCCCGAACCAGTCATTTTGATGCTTTGCCAGTGGAGTGATTGATTGATTGATGATTTGATTCAAGAACAGACATCACAGCACTCGGGGCATTCCCATAAGCGCTCCGTTCCCATCTTCAGTAGCCAGCGAAGAGTTCCGATACTAATGGTGCCAGTAGCATTCTGATTAAACGTTTGTCTTGCCTTTCCTCTGAGCCTAGAGCATCTGCTAGAACCTCTCGTTACTCCCCGCTGCATCAATCTCTCCAGACTGTGGTGATCCATCTGCTCCTCCGAACTGTACACGCTCTCCCACAAGGCACTAACCACGTCTGCCTTATCATGTATTAGTATTCCACCAAGTTGAGCAGAGCCAGCCATTCTGTCCGACTGTTCATTTCCCAACACACCGGCGTGCCCCGGTGAAAAAATCCAGACAATACTCCTTACCCTTTGCAGCGGAGTATGCCACTCTGCACGAAGCATACCTGTTCTGATCTTCCTCAGAATGCTTTCTGAATCAGTTTCAATGATCTCAGCGCACTCCCTCTACTTGCTACACATTTATGTGATCTCAGCACTTGAAATATGTACTACCTTGAAACCTGAGTGCTCCTCCTGCACAACTCTTGAAATCTTACAAATAATGCTGTTCATGAGCGGAAAAAAATGTGGTAAGACTGTGTGTACGTTCACGGCAGGACTCGCCGGTCGAGTCACAATATGTTTAGCAATTTCGTTCATGAGCCAATTTGTTCATGGGTAGAGGCGTTCGTTGCCCCACATCCCACTGTACTTGCTAATGTATTACATATTATATCACACATATTATAATTCAGCATTCATCCTTATTATTATTATTGCACACTTAAACAAGACATAAGCCTTTTGAGCTGGCCCCTTTCCGCCAATATAAATTAGGAAGGGCTGAAACCCCAATGTGTGTGTGCGTGTGTGTGTGTGTTCTTACTAATACTATCAAACCTATTGATTGTAATGCTTAATAAGAAGTTTACAATCAGTACGGTGCCTAATGACTGAAATACTTACTGTGAACATGATATTATTGTATTACTGATTGTCGCTCACTTGATAAAGTCTTTTTCTTTTGCTTTAATTGTCTGCCTTTTATCCCCCAAAGCGGCATAGGCCCTCAACAAACTCGCGCAGTCGTTCTATCCATTGCTGTTGCATGCAGCTCAGCCGATGTCCTTCCCATCTTTCTACCTTCACTCTCTGGTTCCTTCTTCGTGTGTTTTTGGTCTGCCTTTCCCCTATGCCCCTGTGGATTCCAGCGCAAAGACATACTAGTTATATTGTTGTCAGGTTTTCTCAGTGTGTGTTCTATCCTACGCATCGTCTTTTCTTCACCTCCTGGTGCACTGGAACTTGTTTTTTTTCTTTCTTTCCCAAAGCTTTACAGTAATGATTCTGTCATTCCAGTTAATGAATGTTTGTATTTTATTTGTAATTGCTTGAGTTGTTCTCCATGTTTCCTCTACGTAAACAGTACTGTTCTGACATTAGAATTACAAATGTTAGGTTTATTGTTAGTTTTAATCTTTCGTGACCTCGACCAATTTTCTGAGGCTATAAAATCACTTGTTGCCATTACCTTGATGAGATAAATTCTGTTTATTCCAGCGAACTCCAGGCTATGCTGTGACGATAACGTGTGAGGAATGCACCGGTGCTTTTCCACTCTCTATCCCTGCAAAATCAACAACAGTACCCTACATCTTCCGTTTGATTGAAAAGTATTATTGTTATTATTATTATTATTATTATTATTATTATTAAATGCTACATACATATTATGTCTCACAAAACCAAGATCAAAATAAATAAAACGTTCAAAAGACCAGTCGTTTTATATGGCTCTGAAGCACAACTAAAAGAGATGAAGCCTTATTACAGGCTTCTTAGTGTGAATATTCAGACCCATCAAAGATGCAAACAGCGGTGAATGGAGAGTGAGAAGCAACAAGGAAATTCATAATCTGTTTAAATCACCACTGATCACTTGCATCATGAGAGCTAATACACTGAAAGCTTGGGGCATACTGAAAGAATGTCAGATGACAGAGAAGTAAAAACGGTATACACGAGGGAGATGAATGGTCGTAGACCACGAGGCAGACCAAGAAGACGATGAAGAGAAAATATTCATACTGATCTGCAATCATTTGGTGTCACCAACTGGAAAAAGAAGGCCAACCAGAGACATTAATTGAGGCGGGTGATATCTGCAGCAAGGAACCTCAAGGGCTCGGAATGCTGAAGAAGAAGAAAATGCAGACAAACATATTCTTAAAGAAAACCGTGTCATTCGGCATCATCTGAAAAATCAAGGTGAACTGGCTCGTAAACAGCATCCTCTCCCGAAAGCTGTACTATTTAGGGATGACAAGCACCATGATGGTCTAAAGGTTAAGGTGAAGGTCAAGTCGGGAGATGTGAACCAGCGTCATTGCACACGCTTATAAACCATAAGTGCTCTGCCACCAGTACGGACAGCTGATAAGAAACTGTCCGCATTTGTCGCCATCAGTACGCAATTCCGTAACTACAGCGACGTTCCTCCATTTACCCCAGGGTGTTAACTCTGGTACCCATTACCTAGAGGCTGGGTGAGCCCCGGTAACCACCCGGTTTCGAACATTGACAGTGGGTTGCATCGAGTCACCTCATGATTTGAAGGCGAATCTCTTATCGACTGCGATATCGCAGCCCTATGGTGGCCTGTTGAGAACGATGATGGAGAATACAATTTATTACCTTTATTTATGAAGAATCTATGCCAAACTTTCAGTTACTGACTTAATCTAAATCATTCTGTCGTACACATTTCTTTGCACGTCTCTTTCCCAGTCATGTGTTTGAGTGTGTGTATATGTGTGCGAATGCGTGTGTTAGTGCGGTAAAACGTAGTGTTTGGGTATGATAAGTAGGCACACTGGATATGCATGCGCGTGTATCTTTCTGTGTGTGTGTGTGGGTGTATTTATTAGTATCTATGTGTGTGTGTTAGTATTTATGTGCATGTATTAGTGCGTGTGCGCGCATGTGTCTGTGGGTGTATGTGTAGAGGTGTTAGTGTGTCACTAAGTGTGTGTGTGTATCTAGGAGCGATTTTTGTGTATGTGTGTGTATTTATGTGTTTGTGTATTGATAAGTATTAGTGGATATGTGGATTTGATGGTGTTTGTATGTGTGTATGAATGTGTGTTTGAGAAAGTATGCATACAAATGTGCATGCTGAGGCTGATGTAAGTATGAAAGCGTGTGTGTGTGTGTATATATATATATATATGCTGCCCATACGTTTGTATTTGTTACCCCACACTCTCAGTATGTGTTTCGCTATATGAACATAACATGTTTTAAAAACAAATGTGTCAAAAAACAGTGTTTATAGCGGCTTATTTTGAGACGGGCCAGTGTGCCTAATCTGTGACCCTTGGGGGAAAAAGCCAGTATTTTTCATTTATTCTGTCACACTTAGTGCTTTACATCCTTCATTCTCAGTCAGTCTTTCACAATTGTCCCTTTAAAGAGACCTCCCCCCCCCCCCCCACATGCACACAACCACGCTCACCCACCCACAGACCCACGCCTTTGTCAATGTGCAGTTTCCTCCACTGGCACATACACCACACCGTTTTACTGGCTGAAACAAAATTCTAATGCGTTTTCTTACAAATCTGTTCCAGGTATCCACTGCTGAATGCTCCAGCAAACTACGTGAGTCCCTGTGACAAGAAGTTGGGTGGCTCGTCCAACTCCACTCAGGGCTAAATGACAAACTTCTTGCTTCTTGCGTTTTCACAGAAGGCCAAATCAATTACACAAAGCTCATAATAGTATTTTCGTAGATACTCAAAGATTTACGGGAATGCGAAAGAAATCTTTTTTGTCACAATTAAGAAAATAATAAAAAACACTAATTTGTTTTTCTCTATCGTTATTTTTTCTTTTCGTTTTTGCGGTTGAAGGCACTAGAAGTGCAGGGCTAACCACATATTTACACTAGCATATAAGCATATATATATATATATATATATATATATGTGTGTGTGTGTGTATATATATGTGCGTGTTTGTGAGTATATGTGTGTATGTATGTGTGTCTGTGTATTTAACTCTTTTAGTCTGAAGCATTGGGGGAGGGGTTAGTACCAGCATGAATTCAGCAGCGTTAGATAAAATCTCTAAAAATTTAGTTTTAAAGATAGGACTCTCAAATGTTTACATATGGTGACTATATGATTAAGTCATCGTATAAAATAAAATTATGTGGAGTTCAATTTATATATATGTGTGTGTGTGTATATATATATATATATATATATATATATATATATATATATATATATATATATATATATATATAAATATATATCTGTGTGGGAAAAAAAGCTTTTTAATAGCATTTTTTTTACATACGCAAAATGAAGATGTTAGTTTGGATCGAAAAAAAAAAAAAAATTGTACAGCTCAATTCCGTCAAAATTAAACTGCACACACAAGAATAGTGGGTGTAGTGAATTCTAACAAAATTAGTACACATTTTATAGATTTTATGTAAAGATACCTAAAATTTGCATTTGTTTTGTTTAGACAATTTCAAATTTTAAACTACATTAAAATGAACACAATCGTGATAATGAATTCCACTAGAATACGATACAAATAAGGTGGACAAAATTACATGCAGATTGGTTAATATTTGTGAAAGTTATAGAAGGATAAGTACAAACAAATGACGTCACGATGTTCGTGAAAATATTCTAGATATTTACCTCAGTAACTTCCTGTCAAATAAGGAAAGCCTTCAGACTTACATTCTTCTGAAAGTTTTTCAGTCTTAATGTGTCAGTAGCGATGACAAATTATGACTTGAAACGTCCACGTATTATTTGCATTGCCACAAACAGTGCTTCTAGAGTCTTTCGCTTCATCCAACTGCAATCTTAACAGCTACAAATCCATGGTACCAGTGTTTTTGTTAATGTCGCCAAATGGTGCTGTTGACTGATTCGATAGCGTTCTGGGTGTAGCCATCTAGACATTTTCTCAACAGGTCAGAGTTCAAGAGATCTTTGAAAACTGGCTTGACATCCATAATTTCTGCAGGCAGGGAATTTTTATGTTTATAACCCTTTTATGTGTTGGTGGCAACAACTAGTTTATTTGGGCATCAGCTAATTTTGCAGAGATTTGAACAGGCTTTCGATACGCGGCGAGCTCGTGAAAATGTATCGCCCAAACAGCGTCTTGCAATTCCTTTTAACCTCTAATTCCATTCCTATAATATTTCTGAATAGAGTTATTCTGTGTGTCCGTAAGTCTTTCCTTTCCACCAGTACTCTTCCCATCTGACTGTTTCTTTCAGCGCCCCCCCCCCCCCATTTCCCCGTTCTCCCCAAATTCTTGATCTTGCGTAGTCGGGTAACAATTCTTTTTTGCACGTGCCTGGCACATTCTATCTACACAACAGGCGTATCTCCATATGGCTGTGAATCATCATTATCAGGTAACTTGCCGACTGGCGTGGGCGATCATGCCTCTCCACAATCCACGATCTCCTGCAGCATGTAACAGTTCGTGTGCCGACACACCTCCATGCCATGCAACAAGACTGTCAAGAATGTTCTCTCGTTGTCTTCCTCTATCCCTCCTTCCACAGATCTTCAGCTTCAGATTAAATAGAATCATAGCAACAACTCACCCCTATTCTCAACGTTTCTTTTCAATTCACTGTCGGGCTTCCTTCTCCATGTGGTTTGTGGTCTGCCTTTATTTCAATGCCTCTGTGGGTGTAAATGCAAAGCCATTCTAATTATAATGAGCCCAGGTATTCTCAACTTGTGTGCTATCCAAAGCCATTATCTTTTCTTTATCTCTTGGTCCACTGGAACTTGTTTAGTTCATTTCGAAAATGTTTCCTATTACTGTTTGAAAAACCAAATGTTAGTTTGACGCAGTCAAATAAAAGCGTTTATGTTTCTATGGCTAATAAAATTGGTCTGCCTACGGAGACGGTGGTCTGAACTTTGTCCATAAAAGTGGCATAAATTTGGCCTAATCTTATAGTTGCTGAGTCGACTCAGCTTCATACAATGCACTATAATTAACGAAAATTGTTAAAAGGTTTAGGAATCTACTTTACTTGATGATCGCCATACTTATGCATACAATTATGCAAACGGTACTATCGATGACTATTGGCTTGCGAAGATTTCTGCTCTTTGTTTCAGGGACATCCAAGATATGCTGTAACCTTGACCTGTAAAGAATGTACTATGCCCCCCCCCCCTCCCTTTCAATCTGTCCCCGCTAAAGCTTGTTTAGTACCGTAAATCTTTCACTTAACTGGACCCAAGCATTATTATTAAGTCAATAGTCATTCGTTGAGTAAGTTACCAAAAAGTGTCCATGGTTTTGGAACAGTGAAAGTAAAAAGTACTTGAAACACCCATTTCACTCCAATGGGGTATTGAGCATATAATGCAAGGCTTACAGTTTTTTTTTTTAAATAACTGGCATACTACAATCTTTGATGCCGTTAACATCGACTTTGCTTCTTATGACTGTACCTGGTACCTATGTTTAACTGGGTCACCTGGGTGACAAGATCATTTTTCGAAAAAAAGTCCGACTCGATGCTAATTCAAACCTATGGAACAATAAGAAACGAAAAAAATAACTGTTAGACAGGGAAACAATGAAAAACTTGGGGATCGACTCTGTCCAGTAGATAGTTGGTTATCAAATTGTGGATCCCCTTGTAGACTTTGGATCTGGACATTAATCCTGATGCCTTGACGTTCCAGTGGTCTGAACCCGATTTGGCTGCAACTTTAAAAACCTTTAAGGGCTATGTGTCCCAAATAGCAACAGAATTTAAAACCCCTTTGTAAAGATGTTCAACCTGTTGTGTACATTACTGGTCTTAACTGTGGCATTATTTCCTCTCATCATTATCGTCATCGTCATCATCATCATCATCATCATCACGTAACATTGTGTTGTTTGGTCACCAGTTTCTGCTGTCTAATCAGCTCTCTCTACCTTTGGCGGTCAGCTGCGATGGACTTCATGGTTGCATGCCTGAGGCCTGTCCAGTCAGTCAGGTTCTGTAACCAGGTCTTTCTTGGTCTGCCTCTTCTCCTTTTTCCCCTCTACTGAGCTCTGCAGTATTGTTTTTAAGAGGCCAGAAGATCTTGTCCATACCATTGCATTTTTTGCCTTTTCTCTATAGTTAAAAGAGGTTTAGAGCTGCCAAAGCTCTGTGTAATTATGAGACGAGCCTCTTCGTTTGTAATGTGGTATCTGTATGACATGCCGAGAATGTTTCTAAAACATTTCATTTCTAATGTTTGTATCTTCCAATTATCTGTTATTATCCTATTATAAATTATTTCCTATACGAGGCGGAAATGGAGCCAGTTTTAACAAGTGGATGTAATTCCTGACAATTAATAGACAAGCAACACAGTTTCTTCAGGTATCGGAGGCGGTTTTACAGAAGAATAGTAAAAATGTTATGGACAGCCAAAACGAGCAACACAGATGCTTTCAGAGGAAGAAGGACGCAAACACAAGTTAACACGAACAAGAGAAAGCGACAGTCATCATCGTTGGGTCATGTTATGAGCAGAAGGAAACTCGAATATGTTGTAACAACTTGAAAGTTCCGTGCGAAAAGAGACTGAAGTCGGTAGAAGACGTTTCTTGACAGCCTTTTGTCATGGCCTAGAAAGGTGTCAGTACATGAACTAATTATTGCATGCTGTAGAAGATCGCGGACTGTGAAAAAGCTGGATCGCCCACGTCAGTCGGCATGTGTCTTGATGACGACGATGATTTTTGTGTGTGTTATACCTAATGGCCTAATGTCCTTGGTTGTATTTCATGCTTGTCTGAACTCGATCGATCGATTTGTCCCCTCAAGGCTGTATCTAAAAGTTTACCGAGCTCCTCCTGAGATTACAAACTATCAGCCTGCACAAAAGCAGAAAGAAGAAGAAGAAGAAGAAGAAAGAAGAAGAAGAAGAAGAAGAAGAAGAAGAAAAAGAAGAATAGTGAAAATAATAATATGTTTATTTCTTTTCGCAGACACAACGTATTATATTTTGTTGTTTGACCAGGAATTTTTTACGTTCTGTAGTTTGTTGTTTTACTAGGAAGGGTAACCTTCCGTACCTTTTTTTTAAAAAACTAGTAATGTTTACGTTTCGATGTTTGTTCTTTTACTTATACGTTTTACGTTGTGTATTTTGTGTGTGTGTTTTACGAGGAATGTTTACTCTTTTTAGTTTATCATTGCTTCCTGTATTGTCTGCAAATCATGCCATTGTCGAATTCAATGCAAAGTGATCTGCTGCTGCCATTTGTTAGAGTCTATGGGAATTATTAAACTACGTTCACAATTGCTTTCACATAGATAATTTTAATACTATATTTGAAATAATACAATGTATATATGTGTGTGTGTGTGTGTGTGTGTGTGTGTGTGTGTGTGTGTGTGTGTGTGTGTGTGTGTGTAAGGAAGTTCAATACCAGGAGAGAGAAGAGGGGCGCGCAACCTTATGATTTTTGTTAGATAACGGGAAAATATGTGGGTGGGTGAGTGAGTGATCGTGTTCCACGGGCTCTATCTACAAGTTACCATTCATTTACATCTGACCAAGCGATCGATCTGATGTGGACTGGTGTGAAATTTGGTAATAAAGCACCTTGTTAATTAATTTGCGGAACACACGCTAACAACCCTTTCTCAATAATTACCCAAAATCTTCGATCTGTTTAACTCGTTTAGTACCAAACAGCCATGTGACTAACACACTAACAGCAACATCGCTATGTTAATCATAGTAAGACAAGCTTTCAACTGACGAGTAGAAGTTAATGCCTGCTTATATATTGATAGCTAGAGATTTAATCTTAGTAAGGCGTGTCTGTATATTGTCGACCGTAGAGTTAATCTTATTCATGTATAAATGTATTTTAAAAACTAAAGAGTTAATCTAAGTACATGCATGTGTACTGACAACTGGAGAATTGACCTTCGTAAAGCATGGTTATTTTAAAAAAAAGATTATCGTTTTTTCAAAGCAGGCTTTAAAACTATGGCAGTGGTCTCACACTTAAAGACTCTTTCACACTAGTACTTGGCACAGAACAAACAGAAGTGAGTGAAAATATAATCCATTTAAAAGCAGCTAAATAAGGTAAGGTAAGTTTCGATTGTTTATCATATTTGTAAATCTTTCTGACATAATCACATGTTTATATATCTTTCCAAAATAAAGTGATATACATTTTAAGAAATATCGGCATATTTGGCTTAGGCGCTGGAACATGTTTCATTATCCGCGGTAAATGGCGATTTGGCAGCAGACCGCCTTGCGTTGATATCAATAGATGTATCGAGAGCGGACCGTTTACTGAGCAATGACAAACAATTGCCAAGTAGGATCACACACAGCCACAAACAGCTGGGCTGGGTTCTGCAATATCGCAGCATAACTGTAATCATAACACAGAGTGGCAATCGCTCTTTAACAAAAAAGGTGCGTGTGGAAAATTGTGGCTAGTTAGTTAGTTGCTTAGTAAATTAGCTAGTTAGCTAGTTAGTTAGCTAGTTAGTAACTTAGTTACGTAGATAGTTAGTTAGTTATTAGTTAGTTACTTAGTCGTAAGATTATCATCATCGCAGATCAAACCATTCAGTCCATAAGTGCTCAGATCCCCTATTCAGTATCTCCCACAGTGTGTAGTGGCTTATAAAACTAGTTCTAATTTGGTTTACTATTCTTCTTTGGGCCGCTTTGTAGCGCTCGTGTCTGGCTTCACCCGTTTAGATGTCATGTTCGTGTAGTCTAGTCACTGTTGCAGATTCACAATCATTACTTGATTCGTTTAATCGAGCTGCTTGTCTGGGGCCTTCAGTATATCAGCCTTGTCCATTGCTCATCCCTTTCGCAGGTCAGCATCACTTGCAAGTCTGTCAGCTCTCTCATAGCCCTTTACACCAGAATGACCAAGAACAAACATGAAGCTGATTTTTGACAGCCTACATCTATTCAGAGACTCCACCCATTGTCTTCGTCTGCAACCCTTCTCGATCTTCTTGAGCACTGGGGAAAAGGGAGGGCGACCGGGGGGGGGGGGGGAACGGGGTTAGCTCTGAAGAAAAAAGACGACTACTATACGTACATGTGTAATAATACACCAGCACTTAACTGGACCTATTGAGATATTTACAAATGTAACGTGTAACGTTAAAACATGTCAAGAGGCCGACCAAGAAAGATATGAGTGGATGGAGTTAAAGAACGTTACAGAAACTCCGTATGGCATTAACGCATCTGTTTTCTCCCTTTGACGATTTAGGGCATAGGCAGAAGTACACAAGAAGAGTTTATGGTTTGTTATCATCTGTAGATGGCTTCTTCTTCTTTGGGTTAAGTTTCGTATGCTCAGCTGAGAATATCATGTGATTGCCTCTATGAACTCACATGTCAGCAGCAGGTCCTCCATGGTTCCCCATAGCTTGCTCTGCACACTTTGCTCATGAGTTGAGTTGAATTGATTCAAGAACAGACATCACAGCACTCGGGGTATTTCCATAATAGCTCCGTCCCCATCTTCAGCAGCCAGTGAAGAGTTCCGATACTAATGGTGCCAGTAGCATATCTATAAAACGTCCGTCTTGCCTTTCCTGTAAGCCTCGAGCATCCGCTAGAACTTTTCATCACTCCCAGCTCCATCAATCTTACCACACTGCGGTGATCCATCTGCTCCTCTAAAGTGTTCACGCTCTCGCACAAGGCACTAACTACGTCTGCCTTATCATGCATTAGTATTCCACCAAGTTGTGCAGAGCCAGCCAGTCTGTCCGCCTGTTCCTTTCCCTACTCACCGGTGTATCCCGGTGACAAAATCCAGACAATACTCCTCACCCGTGTCTTATGCAGCGAGGCATACCACTCTGCATGAAGCATGCCTGTCCTGACCTTCCTCAGCATCCTTTCTGAGTCAGTTACAATCACAATGTGTGTGTGTGTGTCGTGTTCTCTTATCAACAAAAAGCTGCAGTGACCACCTCCACCTCCTTCTTAAGCTGGATGTTGTGGTATCATATCCTAGGTTCTTCTGCACCAAACGTCGACCATTAACTTTTGCTAAGAAACCAAAACCACTTTTTTTTTTGCCCCTTGACACTGAAGCTTCTATGTAAATAATCAAATACTCTGAGCTAGCATTATGTTGGATTAATTGCTAAATTTCCAACTCCGTGGCACCCGCTGGCCAGTCGATGTATTCCCGGTTCAGCGTGATTATGACCCTACACAAGTCTGACTGTTCAGGTGGCACTTTGACCCACTTCTCTCCTCGCCTAATGTTCTCAAGGATGCAAACTTGTCTGATTGTGTCTTCTGCCTGAGCCATCCATGACTTCCTTCTTATTAGCTTCTGCGTGTTAACTGCGCCCAGAGATTCGTTCAAAGGGTGGCATGTGTCTGCAGCTACCCTGAGATATGACTTCGCCTGCAGCACCTTGTGCCTACCTGCAACAGTCGGCAAGCAAAGGTTGTATCGCATACACACCACTGGGGTGTCTCTGGTGCAACCTAGAATGACCCGCATCGCTGCGTTCTATATGCGCTCTAGTTTGTCCATCTGAATTTTTGAGACGGTAAGCAATCCCAGGCCATAATCAACCACTGACAGGAACAGGTGCTGATACAGTGTGAACAGCATGCTCTGCTCTATGCCAATTGCAACCATAGCCTTAAGTGCACTGAGTCCTTTTCGGCATCTTGTCACAATACTCTCCACATGGTCCTTAAATGACAGGCCCCTGCCAAATGTAATTCCCAAGTACTTCAGTTTGCTCTCTCTGTTGACGTTTCTACCATCTATCATGAGACTTATGACATCAGCTCTGACGATCCTGTTGTCTAGAGAACACAACAAAACAGACGTCTTTTCCGGGTGGACGACTGCCCTCATTGTTGTACACCACTTAGGCACTTTGTTTACTGTCGCTTGTTGCTCCCTCTCTTCCCCCTGCCTATATAGAAGTATAGCATCTGCAAAAGTCAGTATCCTTCCAACTCCTATGATGGCTAGTGTTGTTGCTATGGACTATGCAGCTTAAGATTTTAATTTTGCTCCCGACATTTGAAAAAAACAATCAATTACTGACCGATGTTTCAAACTGAGATCTCTCGAATAAGAGAGGCGCTCCCATGATGAACAGAAATGCAGCTAACTGTTTTAAATATTGCACTAAATGTGCGTCCAATATTTGTTACCAGGAACACGGAGTTTCGCTGCCATGGCACCATTTCCGATCATAATATTTTGTGCAGTCGTCATGGGACATGCTGCAGGGCAAAGTAAGTGGTTTACATTTCCGCCTGAATAATTAATGAAGATACAGGATATTTTTTTTTATCTCAGTGTTTTAAAATATAATTGGACTAACTAGTTTGTCAGCCTCTGTGGGTAGGTGTTGCGAACGCGCTTTGGTAATTACGTTATACCCGATTCAATTATAGCTGGAGCGTTTGGACGGCAAACTGCTTTGTGTTGATTTCGATAGCTGATGGTTTAGTAAGCAATGGCAAACCACTGAACATAATATTGCGAAGAGAAACAGAAAACGACCCAAAGATAATGGGGTTGGTTCTGCAACATCGTCAGCTCTAAAGGATACGCAAGTAACTACCAACCAATTTACGAACGAACGAAGGAAAGAACGAACTTCATTTTTTAAAATTGCCAAAGATTCGGCACACTATCCCGCGAAACTATAACCAGCGAAGGGGACAACACCCAGGTTAGGACTTGAAAATAAAAAGCATATTTCGTCCTATATCGGGGTGAGTATACTGGCTACATAACTGGCCCTGCGCTTATTATCTATACTATATATCACACACAATTTATGTATTTAGTGTGTTTATTGTGAATCAAGTTTTAACTCCTCACAAACTGTTACCAATACACTGATTAAATATTCGTTCACCATTAGGACAACAATGCCTAATCTAACTTTCTCATGGGTGGTCCAGGTTACTGTGCATTTCTTTATTCATTGCTACAATCAGTAAAAGTAAACCTTTTTTAGAGTTATACCTCTTTATATTTTTTTCCAATTACTGTCCCTTTAAAACCCTATATAACTAGGTGTTTGACTTAATACATTTGTTGTAGCCCACGCTGTTAAATATTACGGATGTACATAGGGACAATAACTAAAGATGCGGCAGCGGTCGAGACAACGATGTAGTAGAAAATAAGATATTAAATATAGAGATTTGGTTATACCCCTATTTCCACTAGACCTACTTATAGGGCGGCAGTGGAGAGAAAGATAAGAGAGAGTACAGAAAAAAAAAAAAAAAAAGACGTCCTTTGACTTTCCCGGGCGAAGCCGGGCAATTAAACCTAGTAAGACAATAAAATATGGGACAATATTTCTCTTTTCTAAATCCAGATGCAATTTAACCGACATCAAAGCACTCTCAACATTCCATTAAGCGTGGCGTCCAGATTATCTTTAGCCATAGCAGAGTTCCGCCTCTCTGTCCTATTTTTCTTCTGCCGTTTTGTAAACGATTCTTCCTCTGCCAGTATCGCATGGAGCATGCCATGCTAATCGTATCTGATAGACCAATCGGTACTCTCGATATCAACGATGGCGGCTCTTACTCCTTAGAAAATCATTTCGTACCCATTTTCCTTGTAGAACTCAAAGGCACACATATTCATCTAGGGGACTTTAAATCCAACAACGTTTTATATAATGTCTTAAAAATAAGACCCTTTTTGCCGGCGGCTTTCTTCTGGCTAAGATTTTTTCGCAGATTCCAAACACGTGTCTGGTCATACTAGTGACCCGATATAATGTGATTTCTATCAGAGATACGTCATTTAGATGATTCTGTGTGTTCTTCTTCGCACTTGTATTATAGATTTCTGCATGTGCTGATGAAGGCTCAGTAACCGCAATGTTCACTTGTCGATTGTGTGTGTGATATTATCAAACTGAATGGTTGTACTTTTCGTGATTTAAAAAAAAAATATCTGTTAGTGATTGTTTTAAGGAAGGGTCGACCTGAAAGGCAACGTCAATTTCTTTTCTTCTTTACCTGCTTATCCTTGAGTACTGCCAAGTATTTTACATGTCTGGTGTGTTGAATTGAATGTAATATATATTTTAATATTCAGACTCCAGAAACAATGTATGGGATCTAGTATACTTTATCAGCGGTGACTGGACCAACCGAGCCCAGTTAGACGGTGAAACTACAGGTCACGACCTATTTGACAGTCGAATTATACCCGTTTCTGTTCCAGCTCTACATGAGGCAAGTGCAAATTGTCTATTTTTTTTTCTCTTTACTTCTTATTTTTTTTTTTCGCTTCTTATTCTCTTCTTCTTCTCTTCCTTCTACTTTTTTCCTAGTCCATTTTTAAAATGATTTTTCTCAAGAATAATTTGTAATGAAATATAGGCAGAAAGGGGTTAAATGAACAAAGCATACATTTCAGACCACCACACGGCGTACTAATCCATCACTGTGTGAAATGACAGAAATGGGTGATTAGAAAGCCATGGCCTAGCCAACTATGCAGAACATCTTCATGATAACCGCCATGACATCTGACAGTGAGGGATGAAACATTCGACGAGTGCCCGTGAGTTGTGACCAGCTGAAGAGATACGTTCATCCAAACGTGACCACCAAAGACAGGTGACAGGGGAGTGATGGAATAGGTACGCCAGAAAGAGCGAGAAAGCGGGAGAATAAAGTCTGAGCCAGGGGCTTGAAAAGTTAGTTAGGACGGAACCGCTGGAGAACAGTTAGTTAGCTCCGGAACCGCTTGAGAGGAGAGTTAGGACGGAACCGCTGGAGAACAGTTAGCTAGGACGGAACCGCTGGAGAACAGTTAGTTAGCCCCGGAACCGCCATGAGAAGACAGTTAGGGCTAGACCGCTAGAGAAACCGGTTAGGAGAAAACTAGTGCTTTACTTCGTTTAGAAGGATATGTTAAACTTAGAGTTTAACTAGAACAGAGAGTTAGCCACGGAACCGCTTGATAGGACAGGTTAGGGCTGAACCGCTGGAAAAACGGTTAGGAGAAAACTAGTGCATTACTTCGTTTAGAAGGTATATGTTAAACTTGGAGTTTAGCTAGAACAGTGGTTAAGGAACTCGTAGAGAGTCATACGAACAGCCTGTATCCAGATACTATTGCTTATTAAATTTATGAAGCCTGTGTGACGAGAATATTGTAAATAAACCAGCTCTTGTGTAATTGATTACATCACTGGCCTTGTTCTTGAGTACGATTGAAAAGAGCTACGAACTATATTCATTCAACTTGGCCGAATTAGGCACATCTATTTCCTGGGGGATGTATAGGCACGACTGTGCCACAAATTATCTTGTGTATCCAATCTTTCTTAACTGTAAACGTCACTATTATTTCACCTTCTTAAGTTCACACACATAAACAAAAATTACAAATAATGAATTGACTTTTTAATTCCTATTTTCAGTTAGTTTCTCTCGCTCTTTTTTTTTTCCTTTTCAAACTTCGACAATATTTGTAAAATATACTTTTTCGTTCACCGGCTGTGAATTCCGGCGGAAGGTCCCGGTTAATCGTCCGCTTGGACTTTTGGCTTTTACCTGGACCTGAGTTTTGCGTGTAAAACCGTTTTGCTGTTCCCTGCCTCATGGGCAGCTGTACTCCGACTTCGAAGGAAGACGTCAAGCCTATTTGTAGGGTGACTGTGGCTATTGTTTTGTGTGGGTCGAGACGTTGCCTGATTTGTGTGGAGTCCACTTTGTCTCCTTCTCCGCAGGTATTGCCACCGAAATACCCCTTTGGGGCAGCCCCCTGTGGAACGGTTAGCCCTCAAGGGAAGGCAGGGGCAGATCATGGGCATTCTTCGCCATCCAAGGAGGCTTCCATGTATGCAGAGCCGGCACATGGCGCTCTGGTTCTGGGCTCACCCAAGGAATCGTCACGTCCTGCACATGCCTGCTTAACCTCACAACCGTATTAGGCCTCCCGCTCGACAGGGGCTGCGCCCTCTGGAAGTTAGCGGGGAGCAGCCCGTGGGTTTTGGACTTTTGTGACCACACGAATTGGTACATTCTTGTTTCTTCGCCCGCTAGATTTCTTTGAAGAGCCGTTAGCCCGACAGAATTTTGCATCCTGCGTCAGGCATATGGTTATCAGTTTGGTCCCAACACTCAGGCGAGTGGGGTCTTTGGGTGTGGACATTGGTCTTTTTCCGTTCAATACAAATTGTAGTGGTCAGATTTTGGACTTACTCGTGTGCCGTAGGATCTAGTTTTGTCGGACAAGTAGGCTTAGCCAGCCAATGAGCTGTTGCTGTTGTGGTGTACCTCAGCGCGGTGACGACGACACAGAGGGTTAACCGAGGATTTACATGGGTGGCCAGCCTCTGGATGGTTGCTGTTGTGGTGTACCTCAGCGCGGTGACGACGACACTGAGGGTTAACCGAGGATGTACATGGATGGTCAGCTTCTGGATAGTTGCTGTTGTGGTGTACCTCAGCGCGGTGACGACGACACTGAGGGTTAACCGAGGATGTACATGGATGGTCAGCTTCTGGATAGTTGCTGTTGTGGTGTACCTCAGCGCGGTGTCGACGACACTGAGGGTTAACCGAGGATGTACATGGATGGCTAGCCTCTGGATAGTTGCTGTTGTATTGTACCTCAGCGCTGTGACGACGACACTGAGGGTTAACAGGGATGTACAGTGAACAATGTTCTCTTCACTCCGCAATCTTTTACCCATTGGGTTGTGATTTTTAACTGTACGTTTGGCAAGCATACTTATGTTCCTAATGAGTTTTGATAACCTTTTTCACCCAAGCGTTTGGGGGCGGGCTGTTGAGAGCCACAAGGACACCTCACCTCTGGGGGCCGCCAAACTCCGAGATCCCCCGACAGCTCTGTTAATGCTCATTTGAGACATTATCCGTGGCGCACGACGAGGACGTGCTGCAGGGGTCTTGCCTGAGGTTTCGTAAAACCAGAACAGCGAAGGACTGGCTCCCGAGTGACGTACGGAGTATCTCCTTAAACACGTTATGTTGGACTTAACTTCCCCTCACGCCCGTGACATAAATCACCGCGCCACAAATATACTTTAAATTGCCTTTTACATTTATATTGTTAAGTCCTATACTTTCAACATTTTTTTTTAAAGTATTTTTTCTCAAAATTTTCTTACAAAGTAAAATTGATTGTATAAAACCAATCATATTTATATCACTATGGACGCTCTCCTCGAATTATGATCTATGCAACATACAACCTTCCGTACTGACCACCACAAACAGTACTTTAATGAAAATAGTACACATAAAATTTATCACTATATGTTGATGTTGTTGTTATTGATCCAGCGGCATATGAACTTTCGCCCTTTGGCCCAATGCCATGTAGTGGAATTTACATTTTTTCACAAGCTGTTCTTTTCCTCTGTACAAGGTGTTCCACTTGTCTGGTCTCGTAGGGAGTAGCATTCTTCTAGTCTTGTTGAGTTTTGGGTACTCAAAGAGATGATGGTCAACAGCTTCGTAGGGGAAGTTACATAGCTGGCACTCTGGGGAGTGTTGTGGCTGTATTATGTTTAGGTGTCAATTGACTGGAGTATGTTGTGTTTTGAGTCTGAAGATGGTGGCCTGGTCCCTTCTTGTTAGATGGTTAATGCTGTCATAAGGATCAAAGCCAGCCATGTGCCTATAAACCTCTCTTCCAGTGTCTCCCATGGCCCATCTGTTCAGCAGTCTCTTTGTTTATAGCTTTTTAAGTGTTTTTGCTGTCTGTAGGGTTGTCGCTTTAGGTGGTTGTTCTTGTGTTACTCCTTTCTTCGCCAATCTGTCAGCTCTGTCATTACCTGGTGTGCCGGAGTGATCGGGAATCCACAGCTTCACTATTATGATGTTGTATGAGGTAATGAGCTGACCAGCATTTAGAATTATCTTAGCTATGTCAGTTCTACAGCGTTCACTGCCCTCCAGAGCTTGAAGAGAAGACATTGAATTGGTGAAGATGACAATATTTTGGGCCTTTGAAAGATAAACATCCATTACAGTCTGTAGTTGGTATACTGCTGTTTCCAATGCTATTATTTCAGCTTTTTAAATGGAACAGAATTCCCCCATGCATCAAATATCTCTTCAATAGATACATCAGGGTAACCTATGTAGATTCCGTACTTTGAATGCAGATGCATCAGTATAAGCATGTATCCATTCTTCGGGGTTATAACTATATTATTAGAGTAAAAAAGTTACCCGAGTTAAGTACATTATATATATATATATATATATATATATATATATATATATATATATATATATATATATGTTTACATTATGAATAATAATTCATCATCATCATCATCAGGTGCCTTGCCGACTGGCGTGGGCGATCATGCCTCGCCACAATTTGCGATCTCGTGCAGCATGTATCAGTTCGTGTGCCGACACACCTCTATGCCATGCAACAAGACTGTCAAGAATCTTCTCCCGTTGTCTTCCTATATCCCGCCTTCCACAGATCTTTCCAGTGGTCACAACATGTTCTATTTTCCCTCTTCTCATAACATGGCCGAAAAATGATGACTGTCTCCTTTTGATGTCTGTGATAAGTTGTCTTCGGGCTCCCGCCTCTTTCAAACCCTCTTGGTTGATCTTTTTGGCTGTCCAAGGTATTTTAAGCATTGTTCTGTAAAACCACATTTCTGAGGCCTCAAGAAATTGTTTGGCCTGCCTACCGATTGTCCAGGACTCACAGCCATATGTTATACAACTGGATACACACAGACACACAAGCAACAAAAAAAAAAAAAAAAAAAAAAAAAAAAAAAAAACTCATTGTCTTTAAATATAAGTGCTTACTTGACGAGGCTAACAGTTGCTATTGTACAGACAACATTTTCCACCTTACAATTTCAGCTAAAATATAACCATAACCTTAATTATTCGCTGCACCTTCACAAATACAGATTGAGGATCGGTCGACCTACACATAAATACAAAGACAAATTTTAGAACGCTACGGTAGGCATTTTAAGCAGTATGATACACTTTGAGTCTTAAACAGGGGAGAAAGCCTCTTTTTTAACAGTCTCGAGAAAAGACAATGTAAATTTTAACTTTTAGGTATCTTCATGCCTTCGTGTCAAAATTTATAGCCGACTTTTCTTGATTTTCGCTGTGGCACCCTTGGCATACGCACCCAGTTTGAGAACCTCTGCTGTAATGCCTTGGTCGGGTCAGCAGGCAAAGACCTTGCCAGCTGCTGTACCACGCAACCGTTTCGCAGTTTCCCCTGCTACGAAAGACTTAGACAACAGCAACAATCTGTTAATGAGAGAGTTATTTCAGTCCATCGCTGTGTGCACAAACGGGTGTAAGGTAACCACTATTCGTATTCTGCCCGACCGCAAGTATTGGGCCTAATACCGAATAATTATTAGGTCCACTATTTGGCTCCGAAGCGAATGCGAAGAGAATGCGAAGCGAATATTCAGTACATCCCTAATATTTGTATATATATATATATATATATATATATATATATATATATATATGCGCATCAATCTTGATTGTATTAGGATCTAGGTCACCATGTATTCATGATCTTGAGAGGACATGTTTCTCTATAGGAAACTGTATTGTTATTGGAGGATGTTATCAACGGAAAGTTGTTTGATCTCTATCTGCTGGTGGTGACTCAGGATGAGAAGGATAAAAACCTAGTCCACGCGACTCGTTACAACATCAACGTCACAGAGAAATACAAGTATGTACCTGTTTGTTGAAATGGCTTGAGATTAAGGCAGAGAGGAAACCATCACGGGTTTTACCGCGTATTCCTATGTTTAAATACATAGAAAAGCCGAACGTCTGGCGAGAGCTTCGCAGAAAGCTCCATACAATCACTAGAGATATCAGTAAGCATTTATGAAATCATATCAAGGCAAACAAAAAGTAAAACCAGTCAGCTTCATATTTTCACTAACGTAAACTACGACTGAACGTTACGGCTAGAGAACCTTCATCAGCACAATCTACAATACCACAAATAAGAACACGAATACACAAAATAGTCAACTAACGTATTTCAGGCGTGCAGACACACATAGACACGTACATACAGACACATATACACAGACACACACAGACATACACAGACATATAAACACGCACACAAACACACACTAACATTCAAAGATACACACACAGACAGACACACACACTGACAAATACACACAGACAAACACATATATCGACGCACACACACAGACACACACACACACGGAGACACACACAGACACACGTGCATACACACACACACATACTCACACAGGGACAAGCACACAGATACACACAGATACACACAACCAAAAACACACGTATACATACACACATACACACTCGCAGACACATACACTTAGATTCACACATACATACACAGGCACACACACATACACACCAAAGACACACACAAAAACTCACAGACACACACACACAGAAACACACACACATATAGACACATAGAGACACACCCACACACTGAAACACACACAGACACACACACAGAAACATACGCACACAGACACACATAAAATTATTCAATGACCTTTACACACATTCATACATAGTCAGAATTATACGTACGCAAACACGCTTACACATACACAGACACACACAGACTTACATAGCACACATATACATGTCACATGTACACGCATACATGCATATCATACACACCTTATTGAATAATACACTGATACACAATATTAATTACTAGCAACATTTGATGTGACACATAATCAGTTGTAAGTATGAACTGAAAAAGTCTGCGATTAAATGAATTGTATTTTTCAGATCGAGTGGAAGATGGTTCCAGAAATAAGCAAAAGAAGGTGCTTAAAAACTTGTATATAAATCTATTCTAGGAAGTTACATTCAGCGAGTTCCTAGGTTGTTCTCAGTGGTAACAAATGTCAGAGCTTGTTCATGAAATTTATGACTGACCCTTCCCAACATGCCTCAGGTCTGTTCAATTGCATGCAGGCTAGAAACCTGAGCAGACAAAAAGAGGTTAAACATGATGAGTTTAGTATCGAAATGTCTGCTCATATTTCTCCATCAACTGTGTGGTCCATTATCCTTCATACATGTATATTCCTCACCGACTGTTTCATTCTGGGAATAACCAAGTGCCTGATAACATCGTGGAATCACATTTGTTCATTTAAACTCTTCCTCATAAAGAAGTACATCAGGTAGCAGAGTGTATCATGTAGCAGAGTGTATCATGTAGCAGAGTGTCTCATGTAGCAGAGTGTATCATGTAGCAGATCTTTGCAGAACGTCGCTCTGAGCACGGTCTGCCTAAAACAAACTCGTTATTTTACAGCACTCGCGCATCGTGCACTTTCTTACCCAAGGTGTCACTTTTTTAGTACAGATAATATCGCAATTCCAATTATGGTTATAGGCTTTGTCACGTTATGAGAATGAATCCTCATATACCTGCCAAAACAGCTCTTACTTGGACACCAGAGGGAAAGAGAAAAAAAGGAGAGCCCCAAAACGACACGGAGACGAACAATAGAAGGTAAACTGAGTGCGGCGTCTCTGACATGGAAAACTGCACTGAAGATTGCACAGGACATGAAAGCATGGAAAGTCCTCTCTGAAGGTTTCTGTGCCACTAGGCATAAAGAGATTTGGTGATGGTGAGGATTTCAGCCTATTATTTGTCCGTTCAGCGTATTGATTATAAGGAAGTAATGTATTCAATAATTTCATAGAACATCAAAGAATCCAAATGGTTTGGTCATCTGTATAAATCTTGGTGCCAAGGTTATTGCTTCGTCAGGACCGCACTGTAAAAGGTGTTATCAATTTTGTTTTTGCAGACCTGGAAAGTTTAACGTAGACGAGCTCTACAATCTTACGATGGCTGATATTCACCGTGAAGAAAACTGTGTTGGGTCTTATGTTCGACTCAGCGATGGCGTCTTTTCCGGGACCTGTGTCATGTGCGGTCAAGTCATCGGCAATGTATGTAAGCTTATTGTGTATGTAAATAATCATCGTCAGGTGTCCTGCCGACTGGAGTGGGCGATCATGCCTCTCCATAATCTGCGATCTCCTGCAGCATGCATCAGTTTGTGTGCTGACACACCTGCGTGTCATGCAGCAAAACTGTCAGGAATCTTCTTTCGTTGTCTTCCTTTATCTCTCCTTCCACAGATCTTTCCAGTGGCCACACCATGTTCTATTTTCCTTCTTCTCATAACATGGCCAAAAATATGTATGTAAATACAGCCCTATGAGACACTGATTAAATGTAAATGTTCTTTTTTCTTCGCGTTCACCGGCTGTAAACCTCGGCAGAAGGATCTAATTGTTCGTCCACTTCTGGACTCTATTCGTGTTCGAGAAACTGAGTGTTTCGTGCACATCCGTTTAACAGATCTAACTCATTTGCATGCAAACAGTTGGTTCCTCGCCTCTCAGGCAGATGTACTTATACTTCGAAGGAAGCTCCCAATTAATCGACTCCTACGACATACTTTTTGGGAAAGCAGTGTGGTTATTATTGTTTTCTATAACCTACAACATTAAAAGACCCGTTATACTCCGTTGCACTCATCAGGTAGATTGTCCTAGATGGTTATTTTAATAGACAATTCGGCACTCGGTGTGGGATGTGTAGGCAACATTAAGTTGACATCGGTGACTTCCCATGACATTATCTGGTACACAGTTTAGACTGGGCCACACCTAGGAGTCAAAGTAAGGTTTGAAGGGGAAACAAATCTGTTTTAACAATCTGGCAATTATTCTCAATTATCCATTTTATTATTATAGTTTTTGCCGTTCAGTTGTCTAATTATTATTATGTTCGGATACATGTAGCAGGTCCTTTGATGGGCTACCCTCTTTTGTTTAAACAATGTGTAATGTTGTGGATGCGGTGGACTCATGGGCTTACATAGTAATTTTGTCGGCGTGCCTGTCAAAAAATAACACGGTGAGTTAAAAAACCAAAAACTGAAATAACAGCTGGGAAATAAGGGTTTAATTCTTAAGTAGGACAGAGTGCAAGACTCACAGACAAACTTAGCATAGCACCAATGTACCAACACATGTGGAAAGAACCAGAGACAGAGCCTATATCATCAACGTTCTACGCACTGGGCGAGTGGATAATGACGAACCTATGACACTAAAAATTTGCGTGACGTGAGAGTAAAGCATGGTGCAGTACGTTTATGTCGCCTTCGAGGTCTAGGTAGCAGACATTATAACCAACCTCTCATAAGAACAATTAGTAGAAGAACTTGGGAGTGGTTGCTGCATCGGGGGACTAAGCAAGCTTAGGAATGCCCAATGTGCAGTGACGTCAATTGTGATAACATAACATAACGGGGTGATACTACCCAAAACAAAAAAAGTCATATTTCCTTAATACGTTTGTTGGGCTGGGCTGCCTTCCTGCAGGCAACGGATGTGCCGCTCTGTTGTTTACTTTCTGGCTTGTCTTGTATTCAAGCTTTTATTCAGAGAAAACGAATGCCTGTAACATAGGTTTCATTTCTAAAGGGGTTTTATGTTAGACCCAGTTTGTCGATGTTTTAGGACTGTTAAAAGTGTTGGTGTGTTGAAATATAGAAACACGATGTCAACGGCAATGCGGAAAAACCCTGTAACCTTGTGCAAGTTTGACGTGGCTCGATGTCGACCAATCAGAAGTAAGCTAGGCTGAAGGTCAACCAATCAGAAGTGAGCAAGTGTGCAACACTATGTAAATGGGATGACCAGCGTTAGTTTTACCCATAGCGGTAAACACAAATAAACACACTGTGAGCTGCCTTTACTCAAAGAGTTATGTAACGTTGTGAATTCCCGTTGAAATCCCAGGGAGTTCCCGATTGGGGGAAAGAAGGTCAGAGGGCCAGTGAAACAAGACGAAAGTGTGGAAAGCATGTCTCGAGTAGCCCGCGGTGGGTGAATAGAGGTACATGAAAAGCTTGAGACTTGAACAGCAGGTGTAACCCAGAAAGGATAGGAAGTCAGTTGAAGTTTGACCTGTATGTGTGCGGTCGAATGTAAGAGAACAGCTGAGAAGAAAGCAGACCGTCTGACCACGTGTAATTGTTCGTGAGCAGAAAGGAATGTCTACTGACCGCAAGTTTCGATCGTGTATAGGTACAAGGATCAAGATGTTAGCCTGATCCAGATGTATGATTCGAAAGGTAATGGCAGAGAGAATCCCAGTGTAAGATAGTTGGAAATGTTGTCATAAATCAGGCATGCCTAGCACCCACGAGAACACAAATGAGCGACTGGACGGTGCAGCTGTTGGAACAGCGAATAAAGATCAATAACTTCGTGTTTGTCGTCTGGTGTATTCCTAGTAACTTTAAGTAACTAAGGACGTCTGTATAGCAATGTGACGAGGACAATCAAACCTTAGGCAGAGCCAAATTGCACTGTACAATAACTTTTCACAAATTACACATATTCTAAACTGACTCACCAAGAAAACATATTTTCCATATCAGAAGGAGTCACTCTACATTCTTAAGTCATGTCTTTTAAATGATACACTGTGGTGCTGGGGTGTCTGTGGATTACCTACCTCCCCGGGCAGCAGCTAGAAATGCCCTGTACCAGTTCTAAAGAAAATATGGGTTGTGTTTCTACCTTTCCCTTTAACACGTAGCTAAGGTGGGGCTCACAGTGTGCTCATTCCCCGCCACCAGATTGCCTGCAGGTTTCGCTGAGCTCTTCATGGCTCTAAGCATGGCCTAAGCATGAGTAGTTGGGGCAACTGGATCGTCACGTCCTGAGTCCCTGTGCCTTCACGATAGTTTCCGGTATTCAGGGGGGTTAGCATACTTGTTTCCATTCCTAAGACTGTTCAGCACACCTCTGGCTCCTTCCCTCCCACAGGGGGCAGTACGGTGTGGTGCACCGGGTTTATTATCGAGGTTTGCTCCTCTAGATCCATTGTGTTTTGCCTGGGGATTCACACCCCCAGTTACCGGGACTACCTCGGGGAGGCTGTGACTCTTCGCCACGCACAATGGTCTTGAGGTAAGAGAGGTTTTGCTAGGTCAAGAGGCTGACACCACAAACGGACGCTCCTTTCGTGAACAGATATTCACTAGACCTAGGGTGAAGTAACGGGGGGGGGGGGGACCCACTACCCACAACACCAACACTTCTTACCCCCTGCCTCTCGAGGCTCAGTCCCTTTAAATGATACAACTGAGAACGTCGTGACAATGGGATAGTTGGAGGGACGGAGAGGCAGAGAGACCGACAGACAGAGAAGACGCTGGATAGTTTGACGTCATGTCATGGAAGATCATTTATGTCAGAAGTGATTGAAAGTACTTGAGATTGAAGACTGTGGATAGACATGACTAACAACGGCAGGGACTGTAAGAAGAATCTTTCACAAACATCACTATCATTCAATCGTAATCATTGGGTTTTACAGCAACATCCAACATTTGCACTGACAGTGACCTGTGATGTATTTACCATGACTGTACCGCTATCGGTACCCGTTCGGGCAACTACTATACCCTACATCTTTCGACGGACCGGGCCAAGGTAGATTTATTTATATTTATTGTTTTGATTGTTATTATCATCATATTATTCTCACACTATTTTTAGAGTTATGAGTATTGTATTATATTGCAATTGTGGCTCCGTGGTTTAGGGGTTAGCGAGTGCGGTTGGCTGTACGAGAGTCGCACCGTGAAAGAGAATGGAACCTCACTATGTGGTACACTCTAGATAACCTTGAATGTGGAGACGGCACATAAATATTTGTACGAGTAATTATCACATAAAAAAATAGATACACACGTGCATACACAAATACATACATGCATATGCACATTCATGCATGCATACATACATACAGACATGCATACCCACATACTTACACACATACATACATACACACAATATACATACATGCAAAAAGAGAACGATGTAGACACCCAGAAAGGATATTCGCCAGAATGATATCAAAAGGTATAGAAGAATATCTGAATCAGAAATGCCTCATAATACACAAGACACATGCTGTGGATTTGCCTAATGACCAAAATTTAAAGGAACCGAATATTATCTTATCAGTTATTCGCGGTTCCGGCTTCATAGCAAAACTGTCTGCTTATAATTGTCGCGTTCCACTGCTAATGAAAACCAAACAGGTTACCCATTGCTCTTCCTTGTTTTTAACACACACAAAAATAGACACAGACTGCAGTCCTAGCAAAGCCAGTAGCATGCACATGCATTTAATGCACAAGTCAGCTGTCATAATAGCCACCTTAAGCAATCCAGTGCTAGAAAGTCAGTCGATGGTCAATGGAAGCGACAGTTACAATATATCAATAGTTGAACACGCAATTAATCGCACAAGACACACCACTTCTCTGGCTACAGGCCACTATCTACTTTCTGAATCCGCAATTCTCAAAACAAACCCCTTGATCAGAGTCAAAATGCATTTTGAATCAAATCCACAGCTCACAGTGCTCCGCCATGCGCACAGCTTATTAAATGAGCTTTAGATCTTTATACTTTCAGTCTACATGTCAAGTAAAACGAACGGCTATCTATTATCAGAAGCGGAACAAATACATAACAAGTAAATCCACCAATCCGTCATATGGACCGGAAGAGGAAAAAGGTGTATACATAAAGATGACAACAGAGAAGCAAATAAATTAAAAAAAAAAAGAGTGAAGTAACTGTTGCATTCTATTATAAGAAGGTTGCTCTATATGAAGAATTGATGAGCAGTGAACATTTTTATTTTTCGGAACAGATATCCGATGATAAACGTTCCCGAGGACTACCTGACTCCATGTGACAAATGAAAGGAGGTTCGCCGAAAGACCCACATCATTAGGGTTCCAAGTACTCTAGTGCATCTCCAACGTTCTTAACCCACGCAACGGTGTAAAGAGTATGTCTTTGATGTTAATGAAATTCTGTCAGAAAAAAAAAATCGTTACATTATAAATAAATGTTAGCGAAAAGTAATGTTTGTTGTTTTGTTTTTGTTGTGTTTTTTTTTTTTTTTTTTTTTTTTTTTGTTGTGTTTTTGTTTTTACAGTGTTATCAAAATGGTATATATGTTTGAAGAAACGTTGCGATACTTCTGTCATGTAAATGCCACAGTAAAAAATACATGAAAATACAAACAAAATGCACAATATATACTAAAAAATAATCATATTATATTTAGAAAACCCAAAATAAAATAAGAGACGGTTCAAAAATTGTCTCATCTATTTCATAGAGACGGACTGTGGAAAATTTTACGACATTATGGAATTCCAGAAAAAGTAGTCAATATAATTGCTCTCTTCTTTAAAGACTTTTCCTGCAGTATAAAAAATTACAATACATCTTTCCCAGTAAAGACAGGTGTAAGACAGGGTTTGTTATGTCATCTCTCCTCTTCAACCTTGTGATTGGTTAGATACTAAAGAACACAGTAGACAGGACATTAAGAAGCATACGATGGACTACATTCACCATGCTTGAGGACCTTGATTTTGCAGATGATATAGCACTCCTATTACATAAACATGAACATATACAAGAGAAAAGTAACAGACTACACTGCACAGCAGAAATAGTGGGACTGAGAATAAATACAAAGAAAACTAAGATCATGACAAACAGTCCAAACCAACAACCAGTGACCATAAGTAACCAATCACTTGAAAATATAGAACATTTCACATATCTTGGCAGTGTGGTGTCCCTACTGGGAGGGACAAAGGAAGACATACACTCACGCCTGAACAAAGTTAGAGCTGCTTTTGGAAGGATGAGGCAAATCTGGAAATCCAACAATTACTGCAGAGGAACAAAACTCCGACTCTATAAGAGCATCATTTTGCCAGTTCTTCTTTATGGAGCGGAACGCTGGAGAATGACCAAAAAGGATGCACACAAGTTGTCCACCTTCCACCACACATGTCTACGTGGAATTATCAAAAATTTTTTGGCCAGATACAATCTCAAACACTAAACTACTTCGAGCCACAAACCAAGAAACTTTAGACAGTATGATTACCAAAAGAAGATGGAAATGGCTTGGCGACGTTATCAGAATGACTTCTGATATACCTGCCAAAACAGCTCTCACATGGACACCAGAGGGAAAGAGAAAACAGGGGCGCCCAAAAATAACATGGAGACGAACGATGGAAGGTGATCTGAGTGCGGCATCTTTGACATGGAAAACTGCACTGAAGATTGCACAGGAAAGTCCTCTCTGAAGCCTCATGTGCCACTAGGCATAACGAGAACTGATGATGATGATATTGAATTACCAGTCAAGATGCGACATGGTAATAACAAGTGAGGGACAAGTGACGTCAAAAACTCTTGCCACATGCGAAAGGTTAAAATGTAAGGCCAAACGACGCAAATATACATATACTTGTGTAACAAATTTCGCCTGCTGCAACTTTCTAAGACGAAATACAGTCTGTGAATAAAGTAAATCTGTAAAGCGTACAATATCCACATTCTGTCAAGAGTTTATAATCTGCCGTGCAATATCTGCTAAAATCTAATTCGTTACCTCGTAAACCACTATCATCATCATCATCGTCATCATTATCTGGTGCCTTGCCGACTGGCATTGGATTCCTACCGCGTCTTGTCCCGTCGAGTGCCTAGACGTGTTAGTCTGTATCTAGTGTCCGGAATGTGGTAAACTCACATTTGTTTCCTGTCATGCCACAGTCCCCCCACACACTTTAATATTTTCAAATCTTTAAATAGACGAATATACTTAAATAATCAACGCTAGAACTAATCTGGCGAATTGTAACATAATTTTTTAGTATAGCCACGTTTTCAAACTCAAAATAGGAAAGATTGTAACCAACTTTTAGTGGAAACATTCAGTAGAGTCACCAGAGAGTGGCTTCTGCACCGGAGGACTGCGTTTGTCTGGGAAAGCCAAATGTGCAGCGACGTCGACAATGATAACGTAACATACTTCGTTTGTTTTTAAAATCAATATTTCCTAAGCGTTTAAAACGTGTTGTCCATCTTTGTCACACAGAACTTTGACTGATGATTTTATGATTTCCTGCAAACGTCATGTAAATGTCACATTCGGCTATTTACCTTCCTGTGATCGTGTCACACATAAAACTGCAGGTGAACAAATCAATCCGATCATTAAATGAGGTGTTTTAAAAACTGACCATCTAAGTCACGAAGCAGAGATTGACACAAAGCATAAACGTTTAACTAGCCAATAAACACGTAGTCTTACACTTTGGATGAATTCAGTCACATATAAAGCCATTGAAATTGGCAAACAACCACACAAAGGACACTATCCTGTGTCCTATAGTATCTTATAACAAGAACGTGTTCCTCAGGTAATGGTGCTTAACTTTTCACTACCAGACATTTGCTATTTCATTTTGTTCTATTCAAAGTATTCTTAGATTGCAGTTAATAAATACGTAGTCTACACGAGACGAAAAAAAAAGGGTTAGTTGCGATATGTTTTTGTAGGACGTTGCAGAACTAGAAAGTTATTTGCCTGATTGATTATCAACTAGGCAGTTTCACGTTTCAGTAGTTTACAAATGCTTACTCAACGACCGGCTTTTGATACCATTGTGCAAAAATCGACGCAAGACGGTCTGCTGACAAATCGTCCACAGTTAGAATTAAACAAGATAACTCAGAATTCCTGTGCTCATTTGCAACGCCTATTGGGCACAGACGCCGGCAAGTTAAAATAATGACCCCATCAAAAAAGGAGCCCTAGAGTGATGATTGGGTTAGGATGGGTTATTGGAGCAGATCTGTTAGTTATACGGAGTTATAAAAAAAAAGGGAATCTTGTATTGTATATACGCTTATTGATAAATTCATGATGAGATGAGTCAGTAATTGAGATCCCAGCACTCGGGGCATTCCCATGCTTCTCCTCCTCATCTTCAGCAGCCAGAGCAGAGTTCCAATACTGATGGTACCGGTCACAATCTGGCTATATGACTGCCTTGCCTTTCCTCTGAGTGTAGTGATCCGGTCAGATCCTCTGGTTACACCCAGGTGCCTCATTCTCTCCAGGCCATAAAAATGTCCTTCTCTACTAATTCCATGGCTTGTTCCCAAAGGGCCTTAATCAAGTCTGTCTTATCATGTATATGCATGATGACTAACTTCGTAATAATTGAGTTAGTTGGTCAGATTTTGGGGTTGGCTTATATGTGAACATTGATATTAAAAACAGATGCAGACATGATAACGGCCCAGACTGTCATACTTTCAATTATATCGTGTACATATTAAGTCCAGAATCTCTTCTTCTCACAAGGCATCTAGGATTGCTGAGCTCTTTTCCTTTACTTTTGAAGTAAAGTGTCACACGTCTGCCCTTTTAAACACAATGTGTGGTGGAAGAGTGTTAACATCTACGCCAGTGGTTCTCAACCGGTCGATCGCGTCCCTATTGTGTGTGGAACGATCCTTGAACAAAAGGTCTCCTAAGAACATTGGAGTTCGCCACAACATGAGGGAACTGTATTCAGGGGTCGCGGCGTTAGAACGGTTGAGAGCCACTGATCTACGTGATTTCTCATCATTTAGGTACCGGAAACAAGGGTTGATATATCTCATCCCTTAGGTACAGTTTATAGATGAGAACAACCATCCACCTATCAGGAATCTGTATAGCATCCTTGATTCTTGTACATTTAAAGTGGTGTCCTGGGCTGTGCTACAGAGTTTCTAAGCTGTATGGAGTTTGTGTGTGTGTGAATGTGTGTGTGTATGTGTGTATGTGTGTGTGTGTTCAATGATATGCTACTCTAGAAAGTATGTAGAGACCCTTTATTTATGCAAAGAGAAATTATCACAAACAAACAACAAATTAACTCTTTATTACTGGATTTAATTCTGTTCACTCGTGATGTTTTCTGATGAAAACTTTCCTGCGATTGTTAACATATTTTCTGATAAGCAATCTAGCTGAAATTTTGCATAAACGCAATCTTCATGGCTGACTATGTAATTTAGTGCAACAATATTGCGTTCAGAAAGTGATGGCTGTATTTACATCCCAGAATTTAGCTTAGTATCAGTAAACTGGGTCAGCCTAGAAGCCGATGTCATGAATGACCAAAAAATAAAAATCCTTGCAGATTGTAACCTACGACCTTTATTTAGGCAGAATAGCCTTTAGCAGTGTCACCATCGTCGCTCCCTTCTTTTTTTATGTGATGCTTTTTTTTTAAATGCTATTTTTTACAATCTTATGTTCTTCTCGGTTAAGGACATCCTATATTTTAGGCAGGTTAGGGTTAATGTTACTTTTTTTTTTCTAAAATGACCTTGACTACAGGTCGACCCAGCCTTAAGTGAGTACCAGGTGCCTTCCTGGGAAGTGAAGGCGGCCGGCGTAGTGCTGACCACATCAACCAGCAAGTACCGATTGGTCTATACAAAAATAAAAGTATAGCCCTAAATCCTCAAAACGCCGAGAGGCGTGAAAACGGGCCCTAAGTAAGTAACGGTTAGTGGGACTACTACTAACCCCAACCCTACCCCAACCCTAACTTTTAATATAAGATGTCCTTAAAATACGCTTAATGTGGTCACTAAACAGAAAAGAATCTCATTTTCATTTTAAATTTACCTTTGAAAAGAGTAATATGTTCGTTTAAAAGAGAGCTTAAAAAAAGTGTCTTTATAATAATGCTCGATAGAGTATTTTTTACGAATTAATAGATAACATTGTGCACAAATTCGATGGCTAGGTCATAGGTCAGCTATCTGAGGCCGACAAGAATGGCGTCACTGATCTGCTCTATCTTACTTGTGATGTACC